ATTCCTGACACTCTTGCATAAAGTCAATGACACCCTACGTAAATTAAGTCATTGTATTACTGATGCTCTGGCACAAAGACAATGACACCTTGTGTAAAGTCATTGGATTCTTGATGCTCTAGCACAAAGACAATGACACCCTGTGTAAAGTCATTGGATTCGTGACGCTCTAGAACAAAGACAACGACACCCTACATAAAACATTTGATTCCTAATGCAATGAGACAAAGCAATTTATTACAATAATATTATTTGTCTCACTTTTTTACACTTTATATAGACTACATACATTCATTGCTTGAACACAACAAAAGATCATTTCTCTTCAGCTATAGCATTGCATTCTTCAATACCATTGCTCTTGTTCTTCAACAATGTCTGTTTTATCTTCAACTATGTTGTGGAAACAACACCTCCATAGGTCAAATGAAACTCATCTTATGGTAAGTTAATATATAATTCATAATCTTTACAAGTCATTTTATTCATTAATAACATTTCAATTCTACCATATTCACAAACAACAAGTGGTCCAATAATTCAATCTTACTATTATTCCACGCATGCACTTGACCCAAGAATTGAACATTTGTTGGAGGTTGCTAGCTTTGGTGATGTTGCAAAAATTAGACATTTTAAAATCGATGATTTTCTTATACGTCTTTGGTGGAGAGGAGACTTGGGATACATACTTTCCACCTCCTAGTTGGTGAGTGCACGATCACTTTGGAAGAGGTGACACTACAACTAGGTTTGAAGATTGACAGCAAAGTAGTCACTGAACCTACTTTCTTTGACTGGGAAGAATTGTGTTATGAGATGTTAGGCAAGTCAGGTAACATACTTCACTTAATGTATTTATCACTGTTGGTTGATTTGGAACGTGCAAGACGATATAGTTGAGGTTCTGCTTGTTTGGCACATAATATGTAAGGCAATTTATCCATCATCAAAGAAAATGAGTGGATGTTCTTTGCTACTACCATCTCGGGCTTGGTATCACATGCCTTTCATCCAACCAAGAGTCGAACGAGATGTTACATATCTACTTGCATTGAGGTGTGAATTAACTTATATACTACTTTAATACATCAAACAACTACATTCCAGCTAAATTTTAATCAATGTACAATTTTTTTAGATGAATAGGAAGAGGACTAAGATTTACAAGCACGCTCCATAGAGATTTACTTGGCTATAGATTAAGATATGACAACATGGATCAAAATGAGGTAATACAATGCCAACTTCTCTCAAAGTCATTATATCTTTTATTCAATTAATTTATAGCCTAAACATTTTTCTTTTTTTCAGTTTCAGTAGATGCCATATAGGAGATTTGAGTCCTGTCTACCAACACGTGCTTACAAGGATTCTAGAATATGGACTTCTTGCATTGTTTTAACTTTATTTGCAGTTGTAGTCTAACATCAAAGTGACAGAGTCCAATTGTAATTTGGTTTGTGACAACCAATTACCAATGAAGCCCATAATCTTGATAAAATGCACAAAATAGACATGAGATGACATAGCAATACCAACTAGGCTGAACAACATGTAGATTAGATTTCCATTTAAAAAGACAGATGCAAATATATTGTTTTTGGCCAACCACTTTAAGAGTCTCTCCAACACACTACTGAATATTTGTAATGGTTTTATACAAATTCAAAATTATTTCTTTGTAGCCAATATTTTTCATCTGGTGCATCCACTTCAGTACACAACTCCCAACAACTATATGATTTCAACAGCATTATCCAACACCATCACATACCCTAGTGGCTGGAGATAACCACCCACCTTATAGTGTGGAACAATATCTCCAGTCTTTTTTAAAGAATCCACCATTTCATATGCAACATGAACAATTTATGTACATCCCACCATCAACAAGAGGTCCCATGGAGGACTTCATGAGCAATCTATTTGGCGTCGACGTACACACACCACCCAAAGCACATATGATTACATGCAAAGTATGAATTTTCCTTCATTTTCTTCTTATCACTCTGAGGTCAATAGAAGTGCTTCGTCGAATCCTGCTACGGACAATGCTCAAATAGAACACGATGAGGACAAAGTGGAACCACAACAACCACACATTGATCGTGGAAACCTAACAAGGAACCGACAACCTCCAAGGTATGGAATTGGTGGGCATAAACATCATTAAACCAACTTGCTGTTAAGTAATTTGGTGAATTGTGATTGTGTTGTTATTGTTATTTATTTGATCTCCAATTTTGTTAGCATAAATATTTCAAAATTGTTCATCTCAATAAAAGTATTATCAACTATTCTATGTCTCAAATTAAAGGAAAACAAAAAAAAATTATGTTTTACATATTCAAAATTTTAAGAAATTATTTACTAAATTAAAATATTAAATTATCTATACTTTTAAAATTTAGTTTCATTATTAAAAAATATATTATTATATATACTTTATTTGTGAATTTTAAATTAAATTATCTCTATTTTTTAAATAAATTTCTATTTTTATAAAATAAATAACTTTTAACATTATCTTTATTTTTAACAAATTTTGAATATTATACATAATTTTAAAATTTTATATATAATTATAGTATTAATTATTTCAAAAATATACATATATAATCTATTGAAAAATCGGTTACCCAATAATTAAATAAATTAAAATATTTTTTTTAATTAAAAAAAAAAACAAAAAAAGGCCTGTTGAGAAATCGATTACTGGATAACTAATTTTTCTACTGGGCTAGGAAAGTGGGTTATTCACGTAAATAATCTGAGCCTCAGTATATTTAAGTAAATAAAAAAGTATAATATATACAATAAAAATTTTAAATTCAATGATTGAATTATTGAAATTTGATGTATAACATGAGTTATTGAACAAAGTAAGTAGTAAATGAATATCTCATTAAACATACATACATACATATATATTCATTTACTAACACCGATTATAATAATACCGGTGTAACTTTTACTAAGTATTACACCGCTCAATAACTTTATATTAAATGTAAATTTTGTAAATTCAACCGTTAGATTAAAAGATCATATCACTTTATATGTTTATATCAAATTTTGTTAAAATTAAACAACTTGAAAGTAATCAACATGTTCATATTTTAGTATATTTTGAAATGAATATATTACGTCAATCTTGTTTTATAAGAATGAAGTATCAAATCATCTTAGATTAAATATGAAATTTTGTATATATGATTTAAGAGTAAAGAACTTTCAATCTAACGGTTGGATTTACAAAATTCAATATTTAATATAAAGTTGTTGAGCGGTGTAATACTTAATAAAAGTTACACCAACGTTATTATAACCCTCCTATATATATATATATATATATATATATATATATATATTCACACACACACACACACATATATATATATATATAGATATATACAGGAGGGACCCGTTTACTCCAAGCGTAAGTCTACCTAGACTTACTCCATTCAATAACTCATGTTCTACATTAAATCTCAATGATCCAATCGTTGAATTTAAAGTTCTTAATGCATAAATCAAATATGCAAATTTTTAGAAAATTTGAAAACCATTTGATACTTCATTTCATTAATTCAAATCAATGTATAAAATGGTTTTATGATTATCTGTCAATTTGAATTAATGAAATAATGAAGTATCAAATGATTTTCAAATTTTCTAAAAATTTACAGATTTGATCTATGCATTAAGAACTTTAAATTTAACGGTTGAATCGTTAAAATTCGATGTAGAACATGAGCTAGTGAACGAAATAAGTTTAGGTAGACTTACTTTTAGAATAAATCAATCCCTCCTCATATAGAGAATATATATATATATAAGATCTT